AAAGGAAAGTAAAAAGGAAAAAAAATGAAAGGACCTACCTCAAGAAAACAAAGCCCACACGAAAATAGGTGAAATAATTTTCACAGAATCTAATTTATTGCATAACTTCCTCTGCCAGGAATATCCAAAACGCCAATTAATAACAGTTGTACATGAATCCTTCTACCAATTTCCACAACATCAGGTAAGGAATCAATTTTGAAATGAATTTGCTAGGATCCAGAGTGCGATTAGATGAGGGAATCAACGAAAACATATTGTTGCCTTTAATTGATATAACATGGATGTTATGTCAATAGAATATACTTTATAAAGTATCCTAGAGACATCAACATGGTGATACAACTTCCCTCCCCTCCCTTTCCAAAGTGTCAGCCACATCCAGCATATATCCACAGCTACACACCCAGTAGACAGGTCTAATTAACAAAAAGTGTACATTTACATCCTTGCCCTCATGATTATATATATTATATATCGCATCTATTATATGCGTGCTTATGTAAACCAGTGTTATTTAAGGCATAAACCAAATCAAAGCGCTTAGATCTCCTGAGGCCTAAGCGAGAGGCGAATCAAGAGCTTCATCGAAGCGAGGAGGTGAATAGTATAAAAACCACACAAATAGTTCAGTTTACTACTAAATATTCAAGTTCCAACTTTTCAAAAATTAAATGTTTGAATGCAACCAAAAGAATAAACATTGAATTGAAAAAAACACTGATAATATCTCAAATTTATATGGCAACCAAAAGTATAACCATTTAAATTCAAGCATACACTAATAATATTTCAAACCTTAATAGCAATCAAAAATAAACATTTAAAATCAAAAAAAAACTCAATAATACCCAAATCCTAACATTTGAAAATAGAAAACACACAAATCAAGCAACTAAACATTTAATCAATCGCTTAGGCGCACTTTTACTAACACTTTTGTAAACAATAAAAAGAGAAGGGTTGTTTGATGACCAATCCTACCACCTATAAAGAGAGCTTATGTTCCACATAGAATTATTAAAGTTGGTTTATATGCTTTGGGGGTTTCTCCACTCATAGCCAATTGAATTTGGGTTGAACGCTCTAACATAGTATCAAAGCTAAGTAATGGGTAGTTAGTGGGTCAAGTCTCTTACCCATTTGAATTTCTCAATATACATGTTTTACTATTTAATTGTTAACCCCATGTGCGAGTCCAGATCCCATGTGAGGGAGGGTGTAAAAAAAGATTAAATCCCACATCGAATTATAAAGATCATCAAAGGTTGGTTTATATGTTTTAGGGGTCTCTCCACTCATTACCAAATTGATTTTGGGTTAGATGCTCACCATCCTCCTCTCCTCCCACCTACAAAACCTCCATTATTTCATCTCTCTCTTACGATTTATTCTTCCTTCCCTCACACACACACATGAACCCATCCTGAGGTGTTCTCTTTGCTCCAATAAGTCCCCTCCCTGTCTATGCAACTTTCTCTCTCCATTTACTATCTTAATCGCTGATGCAAGCAAGGTCTCCTATAGTTCAAGATTATAGTATCGGCCATTAATTCGAAAGAAACTGAAACACACATGTTGCGGTGCTGCGGAATGGTATTGGACGATACACACAACATGTGGATAAAAGAAATTACACATGACAAGAGTTGGAGGTCATGTTGTAGCAAGGTGAAACAATGACTCGATTGACTCAGACAAGTCTGCTCTGACAAATAAATTTAATATCAGAAGATGTTTTAGTATTTGAAGAACTGTCTGATGAGGAAGTATTCATAGCATTCATAGCAGAATCCTCTTAGGAGTGATTTTGTTTTTTTATGGATACTCGAAGTCCTCTCTAGTTTGAATTGTAATCAATTGAGATGGACTTCCATTTTTAATTTTAATTTTGAATTTCGATTTTGAAATCAAGATGGAAAATGAAAATTGACATCAATTTTGTTTCTAAAATTCAATTTCTAATCCAATGGCATATTTGGTATTCTATTTATTCTTTTTTTGTGTGCTTTTGGTGGGTTCATTTTCGATGAAGAAATTGAAATTATGTGAACTTCAATTGGAAGAGAAGGAATTAAGGTTCATTGGCAATGAATTGGTTGTTGTGAATGTGTGCGACGGCTATGCAAGTTGGGTTGTTGGCAATAGTGGTGGTGGCAATGTTGGTTCAAGCAGGTTCAATGGTGGTTGTCCATGTTTGCTTGGGAGTAGAATGGAGTGGGTGATATATCAATCGTGTGGATGGTAGTGCTAGGGAAAAAGGTGCTTGAATGTGTGTGAGCGCGTGCATGTGTGTTCAAAGGACTTTAGCAATTGTCAGCTTACAAGGAATGGCCAATCATGGTAGGTCATTGACTAAAACAGAAATATCAACTAGGAGTGTCAATGTCATTTAAAAATTGCCAGTAATTAGGCTTATTTACAAAAGTTGTGGATAATATTACTGTTAGAGTTCTTAATTTTGAGTTTTATATTTATGTAGGATAATTCTGTAATTACTCACTATCGTGTTCACTATAAATAATAGGGTGTAGGGCAACACAGCCCACACACTAGATTATTCTTTCACTTGCCTCTCTCATTCTTCCTCTCTCTTACAAACTTTATACCATTTTTACAATTTCAACTATTACACTAAGAAAATATAAAAATTCCAGATTCCCATGGAACAATCAAGTAAATGTTGTCTTAAATGAGTCATCTCTTGCTTTAGAACGTATTAAAAGGCATTTATTCATGTACCATTGTCACCAATCATATACAAAAATAAATGCATATGCTAGCAAAAAATTACAAAATGATGTAGTTTTCAAGTTATAGTGGAATTCTATAAGTCTCCCAAAATGTAAAAATTATAAAAATAAATAATATGTATATATAGCTATAATATAAAACAGGGCAGCTTCAACAAGCTCATCCTACGATCTCAAATTCATTCATCAAACAGCCAAGAAATTACTTCTTTAATATTTCTCCCCCCAACCGATTAACAATTACAGTTGATCTTAGAACACATTCTACAGTCTCAAATTCATTCATCCAACGGTTAAGAAATTATCATTTTTACCATTTTTCCTTAATATTTTCTCCCCCAACCGGTCAACGATTACGGCTAATCTTAAAACACAGTATTTTCTTTGACATAATAATTAAATAGGTAAAATTTGTCATTAATATCATATGTATAGTGTAACATTTTGAATTTTTATCAGACACAATGATAACATTTTGATTAAAAAAAACTCATCAATTTAACAAATAAAAAAACAAGGGCGATGCTTAACACATTTATATTAAATATAATTAATTTTAATTTTATTTATTTAATTAATTATCTCAAACTAACATATCTTACATATATCTTGAATCAAATGTTCAAGACCAATTTTTTTTAATCTTTTAAGAAAATCCAACACTAATATATTCTTATAAATTAATAATTTTGTAATAACTTGTACTAATTAAAAAATAATATATTATAAATGATATTTGTAGATCTTTTTGTGATAAAAAATATTTTAGAAATGTGTTTTTTGATAAATTGAATTTTTAGTTTGTATTAGATTGACTCGATTTTGATTACATGTATAAAATTAATATTTTTTTTAAGTCAATTCTATCATATTTCTTAGATTTATCTATAATATAAAATAGGATAGACTTCAATAAGTTCATCTCACGATTTCAAATAAACTCATTAAATAGTCATTAGCAACTCTGTCTAAATCATTCAACTTGAATTTTACCTTTCTTTTCTCATTCTTCACTCTCTCTCTCTCTCTAGTAGTGGTGGAGGGAGGAGGAGCAAGAAGGGCCTGGGGCCACCCTAGAAAATATATATATATTTTAGTTATATATATATATTTTTTTTTTGGATATTCTTAATTGTGCCCACTGTAATGATTTATGACAAACAAAATTAATTGGGTCATACAAGTTGTGCACTAGAACAAAAAAACAAAAACAAAAAGTCGATACTAAGTCTCTTAAGATTAATAAACTAAAATTAATTCCTTAGAGTATTGGTATGATTTATTGCAATCTCCTTTGATTCAAAAATTATGGAATATATAGTCAAAAATGAGTAAAATATGGAATTTGTAAGAAGATTAAAAATTATAGAATATTACTTTTATTTGTGTGAAATAAATTATATAACTGATTTTTGATGTATGGATGTTATCTTATTAATTTTTTTTCAAACAAACCCATTTTATATTTAATGAATTTTTAAGTATCAAATCCGATATAAAAAATATAAATATATAACATTATTTTTATCTATTAAAGACAGTAAAACTTGTACTTAAAGTATATCCACCCTAGATCATATTTTTTGCTCCATCACTGCTCTCTAGGATCTTTATTCATCACTTCTTTAAATTAAACGGTTGGTTTACATTACACCGTGCCTTCAGGCACGGGTTACCCCTAGTATATATATATATATATATATAGGGGAGAGAGAGAGTTTAGAGAAGCTGAATAATTGTTCATAATAAATACACAATATGCAGCATGGAATATTTGCCCTCTAAACTTCTGCTTCAAACTATCAGGATATGTGGTTGCAAATGAAAAATGGACCAAGAACAATACATTTACAAAAATAGTTTTTCCTGAATTAGCACTTAAAGGAATTAAGTAGTGTGTATGTTTCAAATAAACTAACAGCAGAACATACATATATAATTTTCCCATCCATTATATGTAATTTTCACATCCAATAGATTTTAACAACCAGAAATCTACAGCAGAAAGAAGCAAATTCAAGTACATCAACCCAAAGTGGGAAGGGAAAAAAGGATAGAGAATCTGACCCCAAATAATGCCAACGAATCAACAATGGCCTTCGATGGTTTTCCCTGTACTGCAATATATCATCAAATTTAGTACAATTTTTGTTAGCACAGGCATTCTAAATGGAGGTGTAATATGAACTCGGTGAAAACTGCTGGTCAAGAACAAAAACATAAAGTAAGTACTGATATTTAAGCTACTTACTGAATATTAAAGGCAAAATAATCAGGCAAACAAGGGAAGCCAAGCTCACCAACAGTGAGCAGCCCATTGCATGAATCCAAAGCCCTGCCAAATGAACCCAATGAAGAAGTACTAAGTCGGAGAGAGTCAAACAGAGATACGTAAACCTCATTTTTGGGATTCCCTAACAATAAGATAGATATGTGATCCATTTCCATAATATAGATAAAGATTACTCCAATCATTCAATTAGTTTGAGCGCAGCAACTTGCCAACAGTATATTGAAAAAGAACCACAGCAAAAGAAACCCAAACATGAGCAGCACGCAATCTCAAATACATTAAAGGAACAAAAGTACAACATAGGTTCAGGCATGTTCAGCAATTGATTAAAACATGGTAATGCAAGTACAAAGTGCAGGAGGTTAGTATCGCCAGCCAGATTAAACATAAGGAAATAAGTGAAAATTAGACAAAGGAACTCCACCTCATGAGGACCTTCATCAGCAGAAAATCAATTTTAACTTAATAAGTGAATAAACATACAGAAAACATAAATAATCTCACAAGCAATAGCCTATCAGTGGACATACATTATGCAAACATACGGTAGCACAAATAATCAGAACCAGGTGCTCAGAATATCAGTAATACTTGCATGTCTTTAAAGTAAAAGCTGATCGAAGAATACTCAAGCAAGCTTCGAAACACTTATGCTGATGCCAAGCCCTGTTCACATATCGTTTCCAATGTCTTGGTATTTTACTGATCAACTTTGATTTGTTGTAAAACAGAAATCTCTTACGTTAGTGGGAAAGATGGAGGAAAATAAGGGACAACATTTTGTGGAAAGGTTAAACACTATAAGAAAGAATCCACAGGAAAACAGTGATGTTTTTGAAATCAGTAAAACTCGGCCCAAGCGTCCACTGATATGTTGGTCCCATGATACAAAGATAACCTTGGGAAGAAGGAACACAAACTTCAGTGTCATGCATAGTGTGTAATATTCAAACATGTGATCAATAAACAGCAGTGTGCTAGAGAACAAAAAGGGCATAACAGGTAAAAGGCGAGTAGAGGGGACATGGCACACATTACCTTGTACCTGGATTATGGTGCTTTACACAAATTCAAGAACAGCCCCCCACCACCAACCCCGCCCCCACCACACCCACACTCAAATCATTTTTCACTATTTTGTTCAAAGTTATTTTCAGCCTAACTCTTTCTTTCACGAAACCATCGATATGTATCAAATTATTGTTCCTCAATGGTCCATCACTAGGTCATTTATAAAAATGTCCACGTCGATCCTCCCATAATTTATCTCCAATTGTTGTTAATTCTAAGATTTCAAGAGAATACCCATTCTTAATTCTATTACTCATTGTTTTTCAAACATTGATATTAACATTCTCATTTCTGCAACACTTAGTTTTTGAGTGTGTTATTATTTAATTGCCTGACATTCAATACCGTAAAGCAATGCTGGTCGAAAGGGTGTCTTATAAAACTTACCTTTCAACCTAAGAAGTATGTGTTGATTACATAATATGTCAGATACATGACCTCCACTTAATCCATCATGCATTAAACTATGATTGACATGGTCTTTATCTCTAATATGTCTCCACATATGGATAGTTGATCCCAAATACCAAAAGCATAAGCTTTTCGGTATGTCTTGATCTTCAATCTTTACCACCTCCCTATTTGAAATTCTATGATTGCTAAAACTACATCCAATATATTTGATATCATTTCTACTTATCCCAAATTTTTTTAATCCTAAAATTTCTACCCAAACTTCTAGTTTATTGTTATTGCTACTTTAGTTTCATCAATCAATATTATGTCATGGGCATTGCGGCATATTGCTTCAAGCATCTCCTTTTATGGAGCTTAGGTTTTATGTCTAGCTCCAGCCCTAAGGAGTAACAGGTAGGTCAAGTATCACTTCACTGTTCATACTCCTAAATCCTAATCTCTTTAAATGTTTCATCTTTAGTTGCAGAAAATGCATAGCATCTAAAATCTTTGGCAAAAAATCCTCTTAATATTTAAATCGGTCCCCTAGAGGTAAATTTTTGGGTCCACTCCTAATAGATATTAATTAATAGATGATAACATGAAACAGAAGTCAATGAATTCCTTCAAGGGCACTTATACAAGGACTATAAAGATACATATTTCAAGTGCAAACTCAGAATGCAAGATACTTTCCAATGTTTGGACCAAGTGGTGGAACTCCTTACACTTATAACTAAAATCATTTTTGTCACCCATAGTTTACCAAATCCACGATTGGATTTGTAGCTCCTTGTACAGCAATATTGTTAGCTGAATTTCAAGTATATCATATATTAATGCACGCTCATCCATCTAATCAATTTCCATAGTATCATATATATCAAACTTTGAAGCACAGTATTGACGTGGCATCTCTCCGGGTTTGATAAGCATGATAGGCATGAAACGAGCATGCACCTCTGACTCACACATAGCAAGTAAAATTTATCCACCACTTTTTTCATAATCTCCATCATAGAGCTCCTAAATCCGTAAGCACTTATGTGTATGTACAAATCTAACACGATATATAATGGAGTGAGGGACTTTGCCTTCCCTAGATGTCCATCATACAAAAAGTCTAGGTTGATCTCATTAGTAATTACCTTAAAGTAATTACAAATATTTTAAAAATATTGAATTATCAAATACCATACAACTAAGAGCATCATCAATCCTTACAAAAATTTAAATTTGAGTAAAAAAGCTCAAAAAACTTGCTCCAATCTTTGACCCAACCTTATACCAAATCAAGAGAGACTCCTTTTTTTACTCAAATTAAGGGAAACTCAAATTTTTAACCAAATCTTTAATGGTGAGATTTCACAATCTTTTAAAAATTTAATGGTCATCTTTACTCTCTTTTAAAGTTGAGTTTGCCCACATTTAAATTTGGGTCTCTCCTTCTATAAATTTGAGCTTGCCCATTGGAACCCTTTTGTATCAAATCAAGTTTTTTACTCAAATGTTAATTTAAATTTGGAGATGCTCTAGTGAACTAAATAATGTAATTTCAACAGATACTATCAAATTATCTATGGAGTCTAGTGGGTCCCATTTGTTAATATTATGTAATGGTAATAGTAGCATTTTAGGCTCACAAAGTAGAATGCAACAATAAAACTTTGGTGTGTAAAATGGGACCAACTAAGCATGGCATGATATGTACAGGTCGGTTGTCATGTCCATTCGTTTACTATATAATATAAATATTTTAAAACAATAATTGTCTTGCGTCACAAATTAGGTAAAATGTAATTCATTTTCATTTAGTTGACAAATCTACAGTAACGGTTCCATAACACAAAATACATCTAGTTACAACCTTGTGAGGTGTTGAGGATCAATGCTAAAATGTTAGAATCGATGCCCATCACCCCCAAAAAGTTGTGATTGACCTGCAAAATTCAAAGTTGTACCTTTTGCGGGCGGTCCTAAAATGTTAGGATGGATCCTAACTTTTTTTTTTTTTTGTAGTAAGTTGACACCAAAATGTGTAACTTAACCCACAAAAATAATAATTTAAGATACTACCTATCTGAGAAGGTGTAATCTTACCCCTCATTTGGTTATATTAATCCATAACATGCCCTAAGAATGTAAATTTGCAGTCTAAAATTCACAATAATTTATAGTCCAAATTTCAAATAATGCAAACTCTAAACCTAAAAATTCATACTATTTTATAGTCCAAATTTCAAATAATGCAAATTCTAACCTAAAAATTTTGAACATAAATACTATCACATTTAAACGTCAGCCCCGAATTCATTATGTTGTTGTGAGCCAAGTCCTAAGCCTAGGCAAAAAAATCTCGAACCGAACAACATGATTTTCGCAAATACTAGTTGTGTAAAGCTTTCATTTTCTAACCCAAAAATCTGAAAGATTTAGAATAAAAAAGAGAGAGAACTGCTCACCATATGATTAGGGCAAACGCATCATGTGAGTTACATAACCTGATTACTTAATTTGTTGGTAAACTAAAGAATTCGGTGAGGGTACTATTATTTTCTTCTTAATGACAGATCAAGATCCAAGACAGATTTACAGTGCATTGAAAATGGCAAAAACCTTCAAAGAATTTATAGAGAGATGAAAAACAATGCCAAGGTAAATTCAGAGCGCAAACATAAAAAAGTCAACAAAAAATTACCAACACCAGAGAGCTCCGAACCAGCTTGCTCATGGCCATGGTCACGACTATGGTGGAACCCATATCCGTCCAGCTTCAAATCCTCCTCCTCAGCCAACTCCTCCGGTAATTTTTTCACCCCACTCACATCACCCTCATCATGATGGTGATGATGACGGGTATGATGATGTACATGTCCATGCTCACACTGGTGATGAGAATGAGCATTAACATTTTCATGGACCGCAGATTCACAGGATCCAGAATGGTGGTGGTGGGTCTGGTGACCCTCATGCCCAAAACCCACATCAGAAACCAACCCAATTATCAAGAAGACTAGGACCAGAACAGAAGTACAGATCTGTTGACTAGAAAACACCATTTTCGGAACGGTGGTTTTGGGGTTTTAAGGGAGTGTTTGGATAGGGATTAATTGGGGCGCTTTTTGCAAGTGCCCTCGATGGTGATGAAGCAAACAGCGCAGAAGAAGAGTACGATAATGCCGACGATGACTCCGAAGGTCACTACGTCCATTTATAAAGAAGGGTGTGTTGATGGCCTTTTTATGCGCTATTTTGCTCGAATCTCTATAAAGAAGTGTCTGACAGCAGCTTTAATGTTTAAAGTACTACTCTAGTTGCAGAGCACTGACACCGATGAAGTCAATGGAAATATGATGAGATTAACTAACTCGACCTGATTACGCTACTAAGAAATAAATTTGATACCATAATTCTAATAGTCCCTTTGACACGGAGAATGAAAAAATAAAATAATAAAAAATTAAAAAAAAATAATTGTTTATATCTTGAGAAAAGGAATATTCTTTTTTTTTTTGGTACGATGAATTAAAAGTTGAAAGAATAAATTTTATATTATATGATATTAGAAGAAAAGTAAAAAACAAGTGTATTAAACTAAAATTTATCAGTCAGGTGGAATTTTGTGCGTGCAACTCAAATGAAAAAATTTATTATTATCAACTCATCTCAAGCACACATAATCAACAAAAATTTTTTACTCTTATGTACCACACGTGGCAGTGTGGCCTGGACAGAAAACACATAACCTTGTTGGGTTGGGCCCATTTGTTGTATATGAAATAAGGGGTAAAATAGTAAAAGCCCATGTCATGCCCAAAAATTGATCCACACTCTTCCCTTTTCCGCCCATACTTGGGGGCAAAAGTTTTGGTTGGCGGAAGATAATGACATTCCTCTCTAGTTTCCACTTCATCTTATTTTTCTTTCATACCAAAGCGTGGAAACTTTTTCTATCCATCCCATTTTTCTCTCTTCATTTTCCATCCATTATGTTTTCCTCTCTACCAAACAGACTATAATTTTTACCACTTTAAAGGGGTTTTATAATTTTTATGAGTTATTTTAGAATTAAAAATTTTATTATTTTTATGAGTAATTTATTACTTTTGTAAATATTTTTATTACATTTGTGGTAATTATTTTTATCACTTGTTTTTGGTACAAAAAAATTTATCACATTTATGAATATTTTTATTATATTTGTAAATATTTTTACCACATTTTATGGATGTTTTTATCACTATTGTGGTAATTTTTTTTACCATTTTTTGGGATAAAAAGACTTATAAATGTGATAAAAATGACCAAAAATATGATAAATAAAGGTATAATACCTATTTTTTTTCCCAATATCATAATCAAATCCTAACTATATAACCGCTAGAGTCTCAAAATATGAGACCACCCTTTAATATGAAACAAACCACTAAAGATCTAAACCACTAGGGGTTTAGATCTTTTTTAAATTACATATTTTGTAAATGAGTAGACTTATCATAATAAATTAATAAGCAAATCGGGTATAGATAAAATTAATTAAAAGAAATACAAATATGGTTGAAGCTAATTAAAAAAAAATATATGACACGACTGATTTATACACGACACGAACCTAATATGACACAAATTAATAAACGAATCAGATATGAGTAAAGTACTTTTGAAACAAATTCATTAAAATTCGACATGATTGACAAGCCTAACTAATATTCAGATTTTAAAATCGTGCTTCAAACTTAACCATCTCCTCTATATAATAATGTTTAATCGAAAAAAGATAAAATAAAAATAAAAATATTATGTATTGTAATCTCGTATTTGATAACACAAATTATTAAGAGTAAGATAATAGTTGATAATGGAGAAATTTGCACGAGGTGAAAGGACCACTTAAGTGCAATCTAATTTAGCTTGGCAAGGGTTCTAATTTGAATAGGACTCTAGCTCCTCATAGCTTTTAGCTCGCTAGCTCATTACCTCGCAAGCTTGGCATAGTTCTACCTCCTCACAATTGGACTAATTCAAATCTAGTTGAGACTCCTACTTTGGATGGAGAGTCATCACCCCACTATACGACACTGGTACTACCCATATTCAGATTATGGATGAGAATCCTCTTGAAGCCTAATATACTGGCCTATAAAAAGGGAAGATAGGAGTTAATCCAGGTAAGAAAAATTGAACCCCTAATTTTATATCTTTTCTCTTGAATATTCTTTCTGTCTTAGGCATCGAAAGATTAACCACCCCCAACTTCTTTTTCAGGTGATCAAAACTGAATGAGTTGATGTAGAGATCATGACAAATTTTGGTATCAACAACAATTATTCAATTTAAACTTATGTTTAGGTAGTTCACTTATTCTATAGTACTAATTAACTATTGAATAAAAAATTATCAATCTAATTTATCATGTCAAAGTGCAACAAAAAATGACAAATGCCCCTACAGTCTTGACTTTAATAATCTCTTTGGTAGAAGCGGCTAAAATAATAGACGAAATAAAAAATTTCATCCATAGAAGAAAGAAATGTATTTGTTCTTCGTTTTTGTTTGGTAACATGGAAGAAAATAAAAAAGATAATTTTTTTATTGTTTGGTATTAGATAGAAAGTGAAGTGGAAAGCAAAAAAATATCTACATGTAAATTATTATTATACCCTCACAGAGCTTTGCACTTATCTTGTCCGAGTTGTGGATTGATTATATTATTATAATAATCACGATAAAAGGATAAAAAAATAAATGTAGTCTTTGAAAAACTTTGACTTTATTTTTGAACTCACTTTCCGCCAAATTCTAAAATGAATTTTTGGGTGTGATTGTTAACTCAAATTCGGTACTTAAAATGAATGTATTCAGTACTTATTAATTAAATATGTTTGATAATTAAAATTTAAACTCTCTTAATATGTTAAGTACTCCTTAAAAATATGTTATAATATTAAATAGGAGATCTTTTACTTAATTCTGAAAGTTAAAAGCGCTCAGCAAAATCATCTTTAATAATATTTATAATATGATAATTATATCTCGAAATATTTTACAATCCTATTAAAACTCTAATTAGTCTCCTCTTCAAAACCCCTAACATATATATTCTCCTTGTTGATCTCTTTTTTTTTCTTTCCCTTGTCTTCTGTAACAAAAATATATATACATAATTATAGTTACATACACACATATGCACTATACACACACATACTTACACACACACACACACACACACACACACACACACACACACACACACACACACATTATTAATGAAATCTAATTTATTATATTTTTTTAATATTATTTAATTATTTATTAGTTATTATTCTTTTTTTTTAATCAGATGTTATTGTTTACTTATTATGTTATTCAATTTGTTATTGTTCACTTATTGTGTTATTTAGATGTTATTTATTTATTTATTTTTATCAAATATTTGTTATATGTAAACTACAATATAATAATAGTGATTATAATTTTTTTATAAATATTTTCAAATTAATGAGTAGAAGGATAAAACTAAAAATTTATTTATTTTCAAACGTCAGTTCTATGCAGTTGTTAAACGGTTTAGTTCAATTGAGTAATTAAATTTCAATGAATATCAAACAGTCCACAAATTCAGCATTCAGCTTTTAGCTTTCAGACTTTAACTTTCAACTTTTAAATTACAGTTTTTAGTTTTATCAAACACCACCTTTATTATAGGCTTAAGGGATATATTTGTCCTCCCACTTTCATTTCCCTCTTATTTTCCACCTCAACCATGCAATGGAAACTCATTCTTTCCTCACTTTTTCATTCGTCTTATATTTCACCATACCAAACATAGTGTAAGACTATGGTGGGATGATACGTAATAGTTCAATTGGCTCCATAATATAGATAAAGAATATTGAAAATATATGTATTTTATATGAATATGAAATAAATATAGACATAATCCAGGGTGTTCTTAGCAACCCTATATAATATAAGATTGCAACTAGAGATGACTCCTTAGGACATCAAAAAAGTCAGTGATTTTCTTCAATTAATTGTTAATATGGGATTTAAATTTTTTCCCGATGTCATATTATTATCATCAAGATTTAGATCCTCTCAAATTCAAAAATATTGATTGAAATGTTTAATTATGGAACAAATACAAATATTTTTTTAATCAATAACAACATGAATTGATGAAATTTTTTATTTTATTTAATTATTTTTGCAAACAATTGTAATAAAATTAATCAATTGAATATTAATTTTTAAAGATGATATTAAAAAAAGTTGTATGTCATAATTTTATCCTTAATTTAATAATGTTAATTGAACCACATCACTAGACCTCTAGATCATATCATTTGGTGGAGTCCTCTGAATTGTGTGAATTTAATTAGGGATTATTAGAATTGATTAAAATTAATTTAAATTTATGATGTAATAAACTTTATAATGCATGATATAGTTTTTTTTTTGACTTAATTAATTTCAAAACAAGTAGAATACAGATCCTAACATATGTGATTGTGTGCAAGTGAAGATGAATAGTGCAGGGATACAATACAAAGACAGCGGTGCAATATTGGCATGACTAGTGACTAGTCAGATTTAACTGGGTTAGACTTAATAAATCCAGCAAGTCCAAGTTAATTAAAAGGCAAATCAAGCCCAGTTTGCACATTCGACCTAGCCCAAGTTCCAAGGAGTTTAAAAAGATAAAAGCACGTGGGAGAGAGATCATCGAGATACTCACTCTCGGTGATCAAGCCTATTTTAATTGTATTTACATTTTGTAGCTATCCTCACCGAAAAGCTAGTATCTTTACCCTCACGTCACCGCCTCACCATGCTTATAAATTGAGGAGAGCATCTCACTACACATTGAGCTCTACCTCTATATCTCTCTACATAATTTCTCTCTCCTAATTATTGTATCCCTCTCGGAGCTAACCATTGCTCCCTCCCGTTTACTTCATCAATAAAGACCCCCCGCCACCGTTGTCATTTCTTAGAGTGGAGTAAGTCACTCGAACCGAACCACTATATAAATGTACTAGTCATAACCCGTGCCTAA